ACTGGAGAAAGAAAGGACAAAAAAAAAAAAGCAGCACTTGTCAAGTTGTCCCAAACACAGCGCGCGCGATCGCTAGCGAGTACACCCGGGAAGTGGTCCCACTAGCGAAGAGGATCTCGGATCGAATGCGTGAATCTGGACGACTTTATGGAGATGTGCAGGAAATCGAGATTGAACTGCTTTTCTGCATCTCTGCATAAAACACATCCAGATTCAAGAGCTCGATCCTATCCGCTTTGCGTGTGCGACCTCGGCCCCGGAGATCGGGGTCACGACGACCTGAAGGTAATTTTTTTATTTGTTTTTTACTCCTGAAGCTAAATTTTGGAGAGGCGGGGGGRGGGRGGKAAAAAAGGAGAAAAAAAAWMGGCCCCGGAGATCGGGGKCGCGACGACCTGAAGGTAATCTTTTATTTTTTTTTTACTCCTGAAGGTAAATTTTGGAGAGGCGGGGGGAGGGAGGAAAAACAGGAAAGAAAAGAAAAAAGGAAATCACAGAAGATGAGGGAAACGACACAAACAATGACTATTTTGATTGAACCTGGTCATAATCACGGTGAGATGCATTCCCCCAAACGCAGCGCGCTTTAACATCTTCAATTCTTAAAAATATATATGGTTGAGGTAACTCGTAAGGAACGCTCGAAACGTAATTAAAAAAAAAAAAAAAACGTAATTTTAAAGAAGGGGGGGCCGGAGGGAGGGACAAAAGGAAACAATCAAGGAAATAATAAAAGACGCGGGAAACGACGCACACAAATGACGATTTTGACTGAATCTGGTCATAATTACGGTGAGATGAATTCCCCCAAAACGCAGCGCGCTTTAACTACTACAATGTTTATAATGTATATACATATATGCACAGATATAAAGGCTCTTGCCGCACCACTCAACGAATGCACAAAAGGCGACAATTATTAACGTGTATCTTTCCACGTTCTTCGGAAAGATTCATTATCATTTTCCACATTTGGTGAAGGATGGGCGCGGCGTGTATACACATATACATATTACACCGCGAGACGGAGAGAAAGAGGGAGGGGTGTTAGTAGACAGACTCTGGTGGAGGAAATCGTTGGGGAACCTGCAGTAGGGCTGTCTCTTATACACATCTAGATGTGTATAAGAGACAGGCACAGTAGCACTTGCTACTCAGTGTACTCACCC